ATGTATTTGTTTACAGGTTTGCATGGTGGAGAAGATTTAGTAGTGATTATGGTTGCAATTGAAGTGTTTATGTCCGTTCTGTGCCAAGAATTTTGATCGGATTTTGTTTTTTTCAATGAAAACCATAAAATTTAAGAAAAAAAATGGGTATCAATTTGTTTTTATTTTTTATTGTCATTTTATTTTATAAAAAATGTGAAAATTTATTGAGAATTCAGAGATCTTCTATTTGCACACCACTTATTCTCTCAATTCACACCATTATTCCAATTTTTTTTAATTACCATTATATCTTTTAATTAAATTACCTATACACCCCTCTCTCCCTCTCAACTCACGACCGCCGGCTGCCACCTCCTCCCAACCCCACAACCGCCCGCTGCCACCTCCTCTAACCCCACCAGCACCAGTTGCCGCCTCTTACCTCCAATAGCACCATTCTCATCGCCACCGGTTGCCATCTACCCCACTTCCACCGCCTTCTTCGCTGCCCCTACCTTTGGTACCATCTTTTTAACTCTCTAATGCCCCCTTTGGCGAACCCTTCCCATTGCGACCTCTTATTCTCTTCTTCACTTGTTCGCTCTCTCTCTCTCTCTCTATTCGATTGATCATTCATCGATTTTAGTCAATTGCAAGGTTGGGGGTGGCTGTAACAACCCAATTTGTTTAATTATTCTTTAAAATTGATACTAATATTATTTAATTACAATTGGGAAAATATATGATTTATTTGTATTATTATGTGTAATTTTACAAAAACAATGTAATTAATACGAAATTTAGAGGTCAATGTATAAATAAGGAACTAATCTACACTTATCCATTTGAGGGATAAGATTCTAGCTTGATGATGGCTGCAATTTAGAGAGGTTATGTGTCACCAAACGTGCTGAGCAAGTAGTAAATTTAGTATAAAAGGAGAAGCGTGGCTATAAATGGAAAGAAGGAACAAAAAATCAGAAGTAAGGAAAGGAGAAGAAATACTAGAAGTAAAGAAGAAAGAGTGAGATATTAATTTTAAGGTGAGTTATATTATATTTTGAGTTACCATTATATGTTTTACGTATGTTTTGAGTTATCATAGTTTATTTTATGTAAAATGTGTTTTATAAATTATATTAACCTTTCTAGTTTATGAACCTTATTTTATATAATAAGGAAAACTCATTGATATAACTGTTTATTAAAATGTATTTTGAGTGATTATTTTATAAGTACCATCACGGAGGTCCCATGTCTTGGAGAACTTAAATAACCATTGGCCATCTGATTAGTCACTTTATGGCTCTCTATTGTCATGGATCTATTGATCTCTGTTATGTGCGGAGTGAAGTGCTGTGCGGAGATAAGTGCTATACTATTGTGAGAGCCACCTATTGAGTCTGTACCTCTGTTCTGACTGTCACTTTTATGACCTCTGTTTTGTTCTGTTCGATACCGTGGTTATGATTATTTATTTACATAATCTCAGTTTTGCCATTTAATGATTATTTGTTCAGACTAAGTTATCTTAAATATTTTAGTTACATAACTATTCATGGTTATTTTGTATCCCTTATACTCTTGGCATAATATTTCTCACTGTGCCATGTGTTTATAGCTGTTTACCAATTTTCAGGAAATAATGCAGTTCAGAAATAACTTTTGGAAAGTCTTAGACGCGGGGTTGCAGAATAGACACATACAACACTTTTATGATATTTTTCTATGTAAATATCGGCCTTTTTAGTTAATAAATTTTGTAATAAAAATAGAAGATCCGATAATTATTTTGGTACCCTCACTTAAATATTATTTCCGCTCGCGTTTATTAATTTGTTCAAGAATTGGCCGGAGGTAACTTTAGTTACTAATTATCACGATACTTAACCCTTGGGTATGAGGAGTGAGTCGTGACAGTAGCGGTCACTAAGGCTGCGATAGTGGCGAGGTGTGGTTGTGGAGGTGTTAGAGTGGGACAAAGTTGAGGTAAAGAAGGGTTGAAGAAGTCTAGATGAGGGACGATGGTAGTCGGGATGGGTTGTGGAGGGTGGATGGGGGCGGGGATGGGTCGTTGGATCTGGTGGTGGCTGGGTTGGAGGTAGGTAAGGTTAGGGTATTTTGGGAATAAAGGGTGTGAATTGAGAAAATAATAAAAAATGAAGATGATGTAGAGGTGTGAACTATAAATGGTGTGTATTGAGATAAATTATGGTGTGTAAATAGAAGTTCCTGAGAATTCAAGATTTTACTATAACATTAGGTAAATTTAAAATTTTTAAATATCATTGTTTTATTTATTTTTATCTTCTTTTTATCCCATTATAGCATTACTACTATTTGTTAGTTTGTTAATTATAATTCAATTAATTAAAAATAAAAATTTAATATAACTTTTCATATATATTATAGTTAATTTGTTACAACTATAATTGTATATAATATCATAATATATAGAGATAATATATAAATATAATTTTTATTTTTTTTAATGTGGTTAAATAGTCCATTGTTTTAAAGTTGGTGATTCTATTTACTTTATCCTTAATTTTTAATTACACCACAAAATTTTGATCATATCTCTCTATTTTTGTCATAATACTAGACATACCTACATACATATCCCTAACATTTCAATCTTTAATTCTATTAAACGTCTAATCATTATCTTTAATAGTCATTTGTTGTCATTTTCAATCACCAACACGTAGCTGACCCTTCTTATATTTCGGTGATCCCCTCCACTACTGCAACTCCTTTCTGTCTTCCTCCAACTACCGCGACTTCCTTTATCGTCGCAATTACTTTCTTAACTGGTGTTCTTCGTTCGTTACAAATCCCCTTCCAATCACCTTTCACTCTGTGATCCCTCTTCCACGCTGCAACTTTTTTCATCGCCTGCAAACCTTTTATCACAATATCCCCTGTAACCTTGCGATCCACTACTATCATACTCCTTATTCCCATGACCAACCACCATTACAACTCCTTGCCCTTTTATAAAATCAAATTTTCATAATAATTTTTAAGACAAAACGAACACAATATTTGTAATCAATTCAGAGTGAATCGTTACTATCGGGAGGTGAACAAATGCGTTGATTTACTTGCAAATGTCAGGAACTTTATGGCATTAAGAATCAACTTCTTTAATATTGCACCTTATTGTATTGCTAGTCAACTAGCATAGACTTCCTTTAACTTTATGGTAGTACCTCTTTTAATTTTAGAATTAATCCGTGCTATGCTTTTATAAAAAAAAAAAATTCTTATAATTATCTTAAAATAACTTATTAATATTTTGTCTTGTAATATACATAAAATTTATAAATTAATTTTCACGTTTATAATTTTTTAAATTATTGATTTAAAAAATTAAAAAAAAATATATATAAATCTATTCAGTGCAATTTTGATAATTTGTATTAAAAAAAAGTTAAATATGATTAAATGAGTTATGAAATATCTATTTTTGTTATGAAAATATACAAATTTAAAAGTTATAATTAAGACAAATATATAATTTTATTATTAAATGTGAGGTGAAGTGATATTTAATAATAATTAATATGACGTTTCTATTATTAATCTAATAATTTAAGTTATATTTCTTTTGATTTCAATTTCGTAACTAAAAATACAATATGAATATAATACACACATAGATTTCTAGTATTTAATAACAAGAAGGTTTCAAAATATTTTCAAACTTTCATTATTTTTTTTTAATTTTTTTTAATCTAATTTGATTTTAAATTTGAATAAAAATTTTGATTTGATATGAATTACTTTAATTTTTTCATTAAATTTTTATCAATTTTTAAAAGAACTTCATTCTTATCCTTTTTTTTTTCACCAATTTTGATGGAAAAAACAATAACTTTCAACATTTCATCTTTTTAAATTTTTATCAAATTATAATTTGATAAAAAAAATATTAAGGGTTGAAGATTCTCTTAATTAGAATTATAGTGAAATAACATATTGAAATAGTCAAAGTTTGAGTATGTGATTGGCTGAAATGTATAATTTAATTAATTCTCTTATCATATTTGTGTAAAAATTGACACTTATGACTACGTCATTATAAGTCAGATTATGAAAAAAAAATTGAGGTATCAAACATTTTTCATTTGTAAATATTCTAAATATTAAAAAAAAATGTATAATTTTTAGATATGTGTTTATCAGATTTATTTTATAGACATAAACAATTGATGTTTCAATTTAAAAATTAAAAAGTAAAAAAAAAAATTATCCCCCAAACAAGTATTTAGTTATCCCATTATTATTAATCTAATAATTTAAGTTATATTTCTTTTGATTTCAATTTCATAACTAAAAATACAATATGAATATAATACACACATAGATTTATAGTATTTAATAATAAGAAGGTTTCAAAATATTTTCAAACTTTCATTATTTTCTTTTAATTTTTTTTAATCTAATTTGATTTTAAATTTGAATAAAAATTTTGATTTGATATGAATTAATTTAATTTTTTCATTAAATTTTTATCACATTTTAAAAGAACTTCATTCTTATCCCTTTTTTTTTCCCACCAATTTTGATGGAAAAAACAATAACTTTCAACATTTCATCTTTTTAAATTTTTATCAAATTATAATTTGATAAAAAAAATATTAAGGGTTGAAGATTATCTTAATTAGAATTATAGTGAAATAACATTTTGAAATAGTCAAAGTTTGAGTATGTGCTTGGTTGAAATGTATAATTTAATTAATTCTCTTCTCATATTTGTGTAAAAATTGACACTTATGACTACGTCATTATAAGCCAGATTATGAAAAAAAAAATTGAGGTGCCAAACATTTTCTATTTGTAGATATTCTAAATATTAAAAAAAATGTATAGTTTTTAGATATGTGTTTATTAGTTTTGTTTTATGGACATAAACAATTGATGTTTCAATTTAAAAATTAAAAAGTAAAAAAAAAAAAATTATCCCCAAACAAGTATTTAGTTATCCCATACCGTATTTGTACAACCGGTATATGTAATCAACACACGAATATCGGACTCTGATTTTCTTCGAAGCTCCATTATCGTCTAAGAACACAATGAGCTTAGCACTCATCCAAAGCTATTCCTCTGCCGACGAAGAAGAAGAAGAATCAGCAGCAGAGAACCATCTTCACGACTCTTCAGATGACGAAGAACACAACCACAACGTCTCCGATTACGCCTCCAAACCCTTGTTCCAAGTCCCAGAACCCTCCTCCCATGACGGCTCTTCTCTCCCCTCCGCCCTCGACGTTTTCGCCGAAGTAAATCTCTTTCAATTTCATCTATTCTATTTTGTTTCTGCTTTTTGTTTAGGTCAGGAAAACTAACATCTCGTTCGTTTCGAATTTCTGGTAAATTTTGGAGATTTCGGGGCCGCCGGAGTTTCTGAACAATTGTGTTGAAGAACCGGCTTCGGCTGCGGCGGGAGATGATGGGAATCGGTGGCGGCACGGTCGCCGGAGACATCGGAAGGAGAAGAAAGATTTACCGGCCGGTAAGCAGTTTTGTGACATACTTGAAATTTCCAAATTTGAGATCTTTATTTGATATATATATGAACCACTCCAATGAAGATAAACTCCGATTTAAGCATAAATTTTAGAATAAATTTCACTAATTTATAGGTTTGAGTCAAGGATTGTTGATGAAACTAATTTCACTCCAATATATGTTTGAGTCAAGGATTGAAGATGACCTCAGTAGTGTGGCTTGATAAATCAATGTCGAATTTGAATGAAGATGAGATTTCTTAAAAATGACCAACAATTTGATTTAATGCTTATTGTATCGACAGAACAAGTGAATTATGGAGGGAAATAAACGACTAACAAGTGTGAGACTTCACATCAAGATTGAATTTTTTTGTTCTTTCTAAACAACTATTTAGGCCTCGTTTGGGAATCTTTCCTTTTAGCCAAAAAATTAAAAAGTTACTAAAGCCTCATTTGGGAACAGACTAATTTAGTAACTTTTTGGCTATTTGGCTAAAAAGGCAGGTAAAAAAAACTTGTATGTTTAGGATGACTTTTTGGCTAATTATGAAAAGATGTGCAAAAAGTAGAGAGAAAAGAGAATTTTTGACTTTTTAGTATGAGTTGTTGGCTTTTTGACTAATTTAATAATTTTTTTGGCTAATTGGCTAAAAAAGTAAGTCCCCAAACGGGGCCTAAATTAGCCAAAAAGTCAACAACCCATACCAAAAAGTCAGGTTCTCTTTTCTCTCTATTTTTTGCACATCTTTTAGTAAAAAGCCAAAAAAATAATCCTAAATATACTAGTTTTTTTTAGCTCATATTTTAGCCAAATAGCCAAAAAATTACTAAATTAACCTGTTCCCAAACGAAGCCTTAGTTAATTGTTTGAACTTTGTAGATCACAAGTGGAGTGTTGCTTGCTCTCTTTCTAAGGTTTAATTATGCAGGTGGATATGTGGGGTTGGCCCCAAGGAGATGGGTTGGGTATTACATGAAGTATTATTTTAGGTGATTTGCAAGCAGGTGGATGGCTTGTTATGACAACTAAGGGGTTGCTTGATAACTCTATTGAATGGTTAAGTTTGAAATCTTTTTATGTGATATTTGTTGAGTGCATGTGCTAACACATTAGCATTTAGCATGAGCCACTTAATCTGAAATTCCACCAAAAGGTTATGAAAATTTTAGTTAAGAAGACTTGACTTATCATTGAATACTGAATACATTTAATATTTTAGTGGTAGTAATTCAACACTACTATAGTAATTCAACACTACTATTTATTTATTTATTTTCGTAGTACTTGATTTTCAGTATTATCAAAATCTCCTTGTACTTTGTCAATCTAAGGAAAAAATACAAACTCACCACCATCTATTTCCTTGAGGCTTGTAAATTGTAATTGTTACAAATCTCAACCACTTCAATTAGCGTAGCAAAAGGGGAATATATATATATATATATCACTTTTCAAAGTACCTATGAGTTAATCAATGTGTAGTGCTGTTGTAATCAGAATTGTCGCTTATTTTCTATCACTAGCTCTTCCTAAAGGCCTACCAGCATGACTATAAGCTATCCCCTACCACGCACACCTTTACCTCAAACACCCAATTTCCTTACTAGTTGTCACTCAAAAGTAATGCTTCTCGCTTTTGCAAAAGATATATTTTGATGTTTGCTGTTATGGTATTCTTAGGCACTGTAGTGGAGGCCAAAGCCCAACTCATTGGAATTCATGAGCGAGTAAGAAGTGATATTGTGGGTAACACTCCTTCAGCATCATCTGTTCAACCTAATAGTTCAACGAGCACAGCACAAGGAGGAGGCAAGCGCATGGCAACTGCAACCAATCCAAATGTTGAAGATGCAGCAGAGCTTCTGAGGTACATCTTGTTTCTTTTTAAAGTCCATGCCAGCCATTAAAACAGCTCTCTCTCTCTCTCTCTCTCTCTCTCTTGCCTGCATCATGTGCACACCCACGATGTACTCTGTACCTATATGCATACAAATGTATGCCCTAAATGATTCATATGTACATATTTATATTATGAAAAATAAATAAATAACTCAGAATTAGACTAGGGCCAAGTTTGGCATGATTAAAAAAAGTCAAAAAGTCAAAAAATCACTATCCTATTTAAGTCACATCATCTTATTTAAGTCACATCACCTCTTTAACACATCACTTCAAACCTAATCCAGACCCAACTCATATTTCATAAAAAGTCAAAAAGTACACTTATTTAGTCTTCCCAAACTAGGCCTAATGTTTAGCGGTCACTTATCACTAGTCATGAGCAGGGAATTATTGAGAAATTGCTTTGTCTCTTGCTTCTATTTGTGCTTTCGCACTCTGCTCTTGCTGTCATTGTTTCTATGCACTCTCTAAATAACTTGGGCGTCGTGTGTGTGCAAGTTAGCCTGGTGCATGATATACATAACTAGTTATGTACTTTGCTTACAAAGAGTTATCTTTGTAGGATGTGCGTGCGATGTGGAATACCCAAAACTTACTCTAACGCGAGGGGAATGGTATGCCCGGTATGTGGTGATCGCCCTCCTGCAGACACAGACGATGAGCCTGTGAAGAAGAAGGGATCCATGATTAAAGATAAGGAGAAGAGTAAGAGGATGAAAGGCCAATCATCACACGCCACTTGGAAAAGTGAGACAGAAATGCAGCTTCGGCAGCAGTTTGATTAGCAGGATATGTAGAGCATCTTTCTTGGGTTTCCTTGGTAATATTACATGATGTAGGATCTTGAAAGCACAATTATCGAATTGTTGTAGTTCAATCGGTTGTCAGCAGGTTTGTTAACACGAAGGTGCATCATGGCGTGTGCTTTGTCGTTCAGTCTTAGTTTCTGAATGTGTTTTTCCATGGCCTATCAGTTTGTCGCTCATGGATATTGCTGAAACTGTGTTTCTATTGTTAAACCAAATTTCTAGATCAAGCAAGATTGTACTGTAAACATGAATTAATTGCTGGTTTTTGTAATTTGAATTTGAATCTGAAGATCAAAAATCCCAAGGCTGCTTTGGATCTTGGATTTGTGGTGGGAAAAATAAAAAGGAAGAACAAAAGGAAAGCTCCTTATTCATTTTTAAATTGTCCTTTTTATGCATCCATAGTGGCTGTTTAATTGGCTTTTTATGTTTGTCTTACTAATCATTTTTTTTTTAAGGTCTTCATGTTGATTCTCGGTGTTCAATCATTTCAAACTATTAGATTTCTCTTTTGGTCCTCGTTGAGAGCTGTTATTTTGTTTCTTTTGTCTTGGTATTCATCTCCCCACTTGAAGCGTATCATCCATGCAAATTATGATCATCAATGTCTTTTTTTATTTTTATTTTTTTAATGCATTTGACACATAAGGTTGAACGTCAATATATTATACTAAACCTAAGAGCTTCTCCAATGGTGGATTATATAGTTTGTGTGTGGGTGATTTTTCGACCACACTGCCTGCTTAGTAACCAGCTGGAGAGCACTGACAGAATAGATGGTTTTAGTAACCTATAACAGAAAGAAAAAGGCTCCGGCGGTGGCTCTTCCACCCGGGGGCACTTCGACGATCAAGTCAAAGTGCTAAACGCACAAGCTTGAGTATAAAACTGCGTACCTTAGACCCATGGGGTGCCTCTCTTTTATAGTTTACTCAATCCTAAACCTGACTTTTATGGATTCCAACTTAGTACTTACTTTGGATTCCTCAATAGATAAAGATAAACTCTCTTAGAACTTTATCCTTATCTTGGCAAAGTCTTCTCTTTTCTCCAGGACTCTTATCCCTTATCCGCTTATCTCGGATTTCGATATCTTCGGAGATAACCTCGGCATCGCCAAGATAACCTCGGCACAGCTACCATGACACGTGGCACCTCGGCTGACACGTCGGCGTCACCTTGTCACGTGTTGGTACTCAGAAAATATAGGGTGATTTTCCGACCACACTGCCTGCTTAGTAACCAGCTGGAGAGCACTGGCAGAATAGATGGCTTTAGTAACCTGTAACAGAAAGAAAAAGGCTCCGGCGGTGGCTCTTCCACCTGGGGGCACTCCGACGATCAAGTCAATATAGTCAATATATCTCTCAAAGATAATCAAGTGCTAAACTCACAAGCTTGAGTATAAAGCTGCGTACCTTAGACCCATGGGGTGCCTCTCTTTTATAGTTTACTCAATCCTAGTTCCACTAGAAGCCTGACTTTTATGGATTCCAACTTAGTAATTCATCAATAGATAAAGATAAACTCTCTTAGAACTTTATCCTTATCTTGACAAAGTCTTCTCTTTTCTCCATGACTCTTATCCCTTATCCGCTTATCTCGGATTTCAATATCTTCGGAGATAACCTCGGCATCGCCAAGATAACCTCGGCACAGCTACCATGACACGTGGCACCTCGGCTGACACGTTGGCGTCATCTTGTCACGTGTTGGTACTCAGAAAATATATCCCCACAGTTTGTTATTCTTGTTTTTTGTCATGAAACTTTTTGAAGTTTCACTCTAATGATAAGCCATGTGGCTTGTTATATATTATTTATAAATAAATATTGTGTTAAATATAGAACAAGGTTTATCTATAACTAAAATTTGTATTTGTGTCTTTGTCTAGAAATTCACATATAATATTTTGATTTGAAAATTTTTAATTCTTTTAAAAAATTTACATTATTGGAACAAAATTGCTACAGTAAAGTATTTTTACACTATTTATTGTTAAAATTATAGCAATAAGGGTAAATTACAATGACACCCCTTGAGTTTTCTATTTAATATAGATTCCTCTATCACATTTAAAAAATTACATTTCTCTCTCCGAGATTTGTAATTTCATTACAAATTGTCCCTTGGATGTTGATGTCATGCTTTTAAATTTTTTAAATGACCATCTTATTGTTTTTCCTACCATTTCTTCTTCCCATCATCATGACTATATTCTACAACTTTTCATCATTAAATTCTAACTGAAAATATTCTTTTTGAGTTATGATATACAAACATAAATTTTATATAGAATTTCCAAACACAATGTTATAACTTAATGGTCACCTTTCACTTTAAGACAAAATACTCATAAATATGATTTTTATTTACAACAATATCACTATCACAATAATTATCCAAAAATATCACTATCTCAATATTTTTATGATATTTTTTGTATTAATTTATATATATAAATATATTTTTTCATTTTTATTTCCACGATTATATCTAGATTAGATCAATTTAATTTAGATATGCTTAAAAAGTATAAAATTTGTATATATATATATATATTTTTTATAAAAAAATTCATTGAATACAACAAAATAAGATAATGTATTGAGTTTTTATATTTTTTATTTAAAAAAAACACAATATTATACTTCTTAAGTATATCTAAAAAATAAAAAATTGCTTAAAATATTAAAAAAATTCAATAAAAAAAAAGCAAAAAATAAAAAAACTCAATTTTTTGTGTGAGTTAAACTAAAGAAAATGATTGTTATTTTCCTTAAAATGACATAAATAAAATATCTTTATTATTTTATTATTTTATATATATAAAGGCTAAGAAACAAACATACTATTTTAATTTGACAAGAGGATATGTGTAATTTTTTAAATGTGAGGAAATAACTTGTAATAAACAGAAATGTCAAATTATGTCAGTGTAATTTACCCCAGTAATAACTAGCTCTTCACTTATCTAACCATTATTGGAGATCTCAATGCAACCCAGGTAGATGACACGGATGCAACTGCCCAGCCGATATCTAACCATTGGAGCTGCTCAATGCAACCCGGGTAGATGACACAGGAATGCAACTGCCCAACCAATTGGCCTAGCCACCAGGTCAAAGTCAAATGGTTACTTGTCGCCATGCATACCCAAAAAGTTATACTCACGTAACCCACAAATAATGTGGCATGAGATTATAATTTAATTATTTAAATTTAAGACAAATTAAAAGTTTAAAGTCTTTTTAAAAGCTTTTGAATGAATAAGATGTCAGTGCTTGAAATGACAATCATAGGAACTCAAAGCCAGACGGCCGAAGGTTGATGCAATAATCATGAGAAATAGCAATTGGTCTAACCAGCTGGTCCCAACACTCACAAGGTCAATCAACATATATTTATTTTTTTGGTTGGTGGAAGTGAGAAATCAAACATTACTAACCATAGATGTGATCAGCTAAAACAGAGGTCTTGACTCACATACATGAATGCAACACCCGAGGATTTATCCCAAGATAATCTTAACAAATTCCATGGTTGGGTCCAAGTCTCATGGAACTTATGCAACACAACCATTTGAATATAGATATGCCTACAGTACACCTGCAGATGAACAAGTTATTCCACACACGTGAGACCCGCCTAAAAACTGCAGCGGCCCATGACATCATGCGACTTTTAAGAGCGTTAGGGCGATGATCCAGAAAGTTTCGAAATCAAAAAGCAATCTTAAAACAAATGACCTATTACCATTGTACAATTCATGTTCCAAAATGGTTAGCATAACTAAAATATGCGAACATTTAGATATACACAATCTCAAAATATTAGTCAAAGATAAGCCAGATAAAATAGCTTATCATGGAGGTGTTGCAAGTATAGTCACCTGACATAACTAAAAGCTAATTTCAGATAAAACTGGTATTTCCATGGGAGCTTCCCCGATGTGCTTTATACATGATCATGCACTGTAAATTCATAATAGACATGTTTCATTTGTGACTGCGCTGAAGCTAATGATTTCATTAGTACTCGTCATTAGTGATCAAAAACTTTTTGATCTGCTTCACTGGCAGCTTCTTCCTGACAAACCAGTTTCTCAGCCTTCACAGGTGGACTGGTGATAGACCCATGAATCTGTTCATTCAAATACACAGAAGTGAACTTACAAGGATAAAGTTGTCTTTCAGCAATAGCTACAAATCTATTACTAAAATATTTATAAAAGCTCACCATGGTATGTGAATACATAACTAAAAACTAATTTCAGATAAAACTGGTATTTCCATGGGAGCTTCCCAGATGTACTTTATACATGATCATGCACTGTAAATTCATAATAGACATGTTTCATTTGTGACTGCGCTGAAGCTAATGATTTCATTAGTACTCGTCACTAGTGATCAAAAACTTTTTGATCTGCTTCACTGGCAGCTTCTTCCTGACAAACCAGTTTCTCAGCCTTCACAGGTGGACTGGTGATAGACCCATGAATCTGTTCATTCAAATACACAGAAGTGAACTTACAAGGATAAAGTTGTCTTTCAGCAATAGCTACAAATCTATTACTAAAATATTTATAAAAGCTCACCATGGTATGTGAATTGCGAGATGAACCATTATGAGCTGGGATTACAGATGGGTCAGAAGGCCTGTGAAATAACAAGTGCGCTATAGACCGATCTATAGGGTTTGTATCAGTTTCCATATCCATAAAACCATTGCACCTGAAATAATCACATGATTTAGCAAAATGAAGGCCAATCAAACATATTTAACCATGAAAACTTATAGAACAAATGATATACTAGATCATTAGTTAAAAATGAAAATGTACTTCAAGCAGTCTAGATAAAGGAACCAGCTCCATTCTATTGTCTTGTCATAGTTATGATCTTTGTTGTTACAGTAGTCCAGGAAAATCAATTTATTTTCATTTCTCTTTTGGGAAGGGGATGGTAGGTTCTCATTATTTTCTTCATTGTTCCCCCCACCTTCAATAATGATTCAAACATGGCATGCCCAAGTGTTGTTGATAATCAAGTCCTGATCAACACCCCGAACAAGAACTTGATGATTACAAATTTAATTTTATAGCGGAATAAAGGCCGGAAAGTAAAAGCTATCGAACTAGAAAGAATTCCCATTGAAGTTTGGAAGTGTTTGGGTGATGAAGGGGCAATTTGGTTGACTAATTTGTTTAAGAATATCTTCCATACTAAAAAGATGCCCGATGCTGGGAGAAGAAGTATTAGTTCCAATACATAGGAGTAAAGGAGGTGATATTCAAAGTTGTGCCAAGTACCATGGCACTAAAAATTAGTTCATACAGTGAAATTATGGGAGAGTAATTTAACAGAGAGGGTCCTTGCTCTGATACCGTAAGTAACAACCATGGGAAGTCTGAGCTAACCAAGGATGCCATTAGCATTTATTGCTAATGATACATTATTGTCAAAACCAGTCAATTTCAGTAGTGTGAACTGGATCACTCCATGTTAGTTAAAGGGCTCAGGAAAAACAATAATCACTATATGCAGTGTTTCTAGTCGCATGAAAAATAGTGAAAACAAAAGCCTGTCAGTAGGATCATTTATTTTAAAACATAATAGTAAATTGAAGTGCAAAAAGCAAGCAGTGATTACATACTTATTTGTTCCTTCAGCCATCAACGCTCCACTGGTGTCTCTATCATCTATGCTGCCACCATTCAAATTTACATAATGATGTCTTTGTTCAGCGCTCCTAGCCAAGCGGTACAGACTATCCCTTATGCATAATTTTGTCCTTATATCCAGCTGCAATGGAGCATATTCAGCTCAGTCAATTACCAAGTAGTAGAACAGACCCATACAATATCATAAACAACACAGCACTAGTGTGTATATATATATATAGAAACCTTCTAAGCATCATTCTTAATCATTATTCTGTCACCTTCATCCACTCCAACCCACACCCACCTGCTTTATCGTTAAGATGTGCATACATGGAGAATAATATAGTACAAGATGAAATTTTTCTTTCAATGGAACCTATTTATCCAAGTATGTGTGACTCCAACACTACGACATGGCAATTGCATTATTATTACTATTTGATATGTAACATGGAAGTCACAAGAGATTTTTTGACTTTCCTAGCATGCATACTACAGATAAGACAATCACAATTCAATAACAGGATTTTTGCCCATCCCAAATGTTGACCAACCTATATGACAATTTTCACACATGTTGAAATTGAAATACAAGGTGACCTGCATATAGAACCTGTGTAATATTTGCATCATGTTTGTGGTGCTTACAAGATAAAAAATGCTACAAGTGACAAAAAAGCACATGCTTCTAAATTATTACTAGATCACGATAGCTGAAAAATTAGATGCTCTTAGCTGCACCAATATGATTAGAGGTTCGAAACCATGGTACCTGTTCCATGACTTGTTGAAGGTGGCGAAAACTAGATGCTTCCAGTGAGATTTCATCCAACCCAGAGCTCATGCAAGAGCTTTCCTGCATGTCTGGAGAGGTGAAAGCTTGATGAGATGAGTCCCTGGAAGGGAACTTAGTGTCTTTAAACTGTATGCTGCCAGTATGATGGAATAAACCACCATTCTCTGAGCGCTGCTTTCTTTTTCCTTCTGATTGATTACGGTGCTTTGCCTGCTTCTTGTGAAAATTGATCTGCCATGTAATATCACACTTCAAATATATAAACAGTTGAAATTGTTGACCTCTGAAAGAATTTCAGGCTGACCAGCTTGTTAGACTTTACATGAATTAATAATAATAACATACTTCTAATACAAAAAATTGGTATATAAATGTAAAAATATTTTGAAGAATAAACAAAGTGGGCAATTGACGTGCAAGAGTTTTCAAGAACAAATCAAATGGACTGTGAACAACTATGAATGCAATTCAAAATGAGATTTATGTAAGCAAGAAAAAATTATGTTTCAACATTCAATCAAACTGCTTTCATCTTTAGAAAGGAAATAAGTTTCTTGCAGTACAATCTTTTGTTCAGCAGCAGCATACCATCACACTGTTTTCATCTTTAGAGCGGTCCGTTGAAGTGTTGAAATGAACTGCACCATTAAACTCAACTCCCTACAAAAGCAATACAACACTCACATACTTTTAATTTGGTAAACAATTACTTGGGGTGCATTTGAGAGTATAGTTTCTACCAACCTGCTCTTTAGGTGCAAACTCATCTTTGATTTCAGAAATAGCATCAGACCCATTCAAGAAAGTCAAGTGACCAAGATCATCAGGCTCACCGCCTTCTGATGCCTGAAAACTAGATTTATAGCTAATAGATGCACAGTCCATGTTGGAATCATTTACTGAAGAACTTCCATTGTTCAGTTTAGAAGGTTCATGTTGTTCTGATATATTTTTAAATGGACTTGATTCAGGACAAGAAAACTCGAAGGCTGACTTCAACACATCCTCAGATTCTTCAATAGTATGTGATGATGATAACCAACTAAACTCATCTTCATTGCCAACGCTCCCAAGCCCAAATGTTGAATCACAACTTCTGACAGCAAAACATATAAGTAAATACATATACCCAACAAGAAGGGACAGAAATGAAGTATAAAATGAAGGCACTATTTAGAATATACCTAAACATCCTGTCAACATCGTCAAAATTTCCGATATCAGGCCACCCATCATCATTACCTAAGAAACTGAGACCATCGTCTGTTTGACAAATGTCACCCAGAGGATAACGATAGGAGTTACTATCAACCGCAGCACACCTCTCAATAGTGTTAGGATCATCAACACAAAACTCTGTACCAACTGTATCTATGTTACTGGTTTTCAAGCAATGACTAGATATCCTTGTATTATCTGATGCTAAGCTTGTCACTTCTTTGTTTGAGTGACTATCACATGAAGCAGGAAAGACACCTTCAGGTGTATTAGACCATGAATTTTTCTCCAACATTGTACCCCTTGCGTTCTTCAAAGGTTGGAATCCTCCACCCTTTCCCCTACTAACATACTTAGCAGTAGAACGGTCAGCAGCCTTACTTGAAATGCCAATTACTTCACGTCGAGGTTTCTTACAGCTATTGTCCTCAAATGCTGGTTCAATCCCGTGTTCATAACCAGGGTGAGGTACTATATGATCATCAGTCTGATCAAATTCATCCCAAAATATATCTTCAAGCTGTAACACCAGTTACATAATTTTAGCATTAATGACTGCAGAGTTCAAGAAATCTTCCTCCAAATAATTTCAACTAAATAAGAGTAATAAACTAAATACATAAAACTGTGATAACTTGTGGATGATGATAGTACATGCCAGATATAAAGGATTTAGGAATTTGCAACCGTTATTTCACAGCCACAGTGGAAATACATAAACCTGTGATAACTTGCAGATAATGACAGCACATGCCAAATATAAAGAATTTAAGAATTTGCAATCATCATTTCACAGCCACAGTGGAAACTTATAAAAACACAAACAAAACTGAAAATGGGAATTTTAGTGAAACTAAAAGACAAAATTAAGTAGATAAGAAAAAATTCAGGACTTTCAGGTAAATCCACAGACGTGAAGTGGTGGGAGCCTTGTAGGACTATAAGTCTGGGGCTGCCCTTTAGGAAGTGGTCAAATCAAATTACATATTTTCTGGAGATTAACATAGCCTGGTCAGATATGGAAAGAAAAGTATATTGTAATTATTACTTAACAAATATTGGAATTTCAGTGTAGGCCTACTGACACTACATCCAGTTAACTACTTAAGGAATACAGAGAGAATACAGATCCTGAAAGATAGAAAAGGATATTACGATTACTTATTCTCCAGACATTGATTACATTCTATATACTTAAAGATTAATGAGGAATTCCCATCTTGAATCTTAGATAGCTAAGTTCTGCTCCTCAGACGATTAATGGTTCCATAAATTGGCTATATTGGAGTGCACTCCTACATCTTAGCAAATTAAAATAGAATAGATAGCGAATTTCTGCATAGTCAATTGAATTTGGTAATGCTCACATTAGAGTGAACCTTCTACTACTCCAGATCGAGCTAGAGTTAATAATAGCTGAAGAAATCTTCAGTTATTGTACCTTTTCCCTTTCTGTTCTTTCTCCTTCACTTGTTATCCAAACAAACAAGATAACTAATGGTGAAAACCTAGAAAATATAAACCCTTGGAAACGAGACCCTATGATGCTGCCAAATTCACAAGCATCACATCCTAAGACAAAGAAAAAACTAAATGGGGATACTAGCTCTAGAGTTTGAATGAATGGAATGGAAGATATTTTAATGTCAATACTTTCCGAAACATCGAATCAAGGGCTAGAAACTGACACTAATATTGCAATCAATATGGTAGAGGCCATCCCAATCATGCCCTCCACCAATTATCTTCTATCTCTTGAGAACCTGAAAACACACAGGATAAAATGTCATGTAAGGGATTTAGTTAAATGCTAATAAGTGAAGAAAATGTTGCATGCAGGTTACTGGAACTGCACAAGTTCTACCTTCTAAGAGAGTAACAGTGGAAAAGTTTCCCTCGTAACGCAAGGTGTAAACCTCACGGCGTGAAGGCGTAAGCATTTACGCATTTTTGAATTTTTACATTTAGTGAATAAATGAAATATTTTAAAATAGTAAAATAAAATACTAGAAATTAAATATTAAATATAAAGGTGTAAATACTTATCTCCCTAAGGCATCAAACATTTCACTGCAAAGAAGGAAGTTTGCCCATATCGCATCGAAGAAGATATTAACATTCCTAGCTTCAATTACTGAACTTCTCGCTTGCACATAAGCTTTGTGTTTTCTCTTGTCTAGTCATTTACTTAATTTTTTTCCATGAAATATAGTTAAAAAAAAAACTTCTTCATTTTTATGTTTAAATCATGTATTAGACTAAGCTTAGCTCAAGACAAGCTCTACATATGCATAGTCCTCATAGGTCAAATATAAAGCCACGCTTCAGATTGTGATGTGCAAGCCTTTTGGAATGTGTCGCCATGCGTTTTACCTTACCCTCACCTCGACGTGAGCATTAGTAACACCTGTCAAAACTTTGGCTGTTTTCAAAGAAAGGGCAAGACATTTCACTGCAAAGAAGTAAGTTTGCCCATATCGCATTGAAGAAGATAATAACATTCCTAGCTTCAATTATTGAACTTCTCGCTTGCGCATAAGCTTTGTGTTTTCTCTTGTCCAGTCATTTTTTCCATGAAATATATTAGACTAAATTTAGCTCAAGACAAGCTCTACATATGCATAGGCCTCATATGTTAAATATAAAGCCCACGCCTCAAATTGTGATGTGCCAGCCTTTTGGAATGTGTCACCTAAAAATCAAAGTCTTGATGTGGTTTGCCTTAACCTCACCACGATGTGAGCATTAGTAACACGTGTTAAAACTTTGGCTGTTTTCAAAGAAAGGGCAAGATTTATTATACATTCTTGTGTGACAAATTTCCCTGAGTGAGGAATGTAAGATGACACTTAAGTTTAGGTTGGTTCCCAAGTAATTACAAGAATTATTAAATGGAAGAAATGGATTAGAGATAAGCTTGGTACGAATCAGATGGATGATGACTACATGGTATTGAATTAAATAAATGGAAGTCAAAGAATGTAAAAGGAGGAGATGAAAAAATGGAAAATACAACAATTGTTAAATCAATTAAATTGTTATAAAAGCGATCTTGCCTTGTGCATGCATTCATGTAGCATTGCAAGTATGTTATTACCCACATGTTTTATTCTTGCGTTATATGTTACTTTTTTTGTATGTTGGGTTTTTTGGACTATCGGGTGCAAATTCACCCCCTACTAGACATTGCAGGTTTACTGAATGCGGAGTCAGGATGGGTAGGGAGTAAAGATTGAGATAATAAAAATATGTTACTCGTATTGATTTTACATGTAATAAGAGACATAAATACTCCTCGATTTATTAGCATCATTGTATTTTGGATTGTTGTAATTATTTTACTATGAGACATTTAGATGCTCTAATGTACCATTTGGTCTCAACTTTAATTATACTATTATTTTGGAACATTAGAAATTACGTTTTATTTTCTATATATTATTCTATTTCATTATAATCCCCCAGATTTCAATACGTGACAAATAGGGCAGAATTTAGTACACATTCTTATTCCAGGCTTCCATTGCAAATTAATTTTTTTTAATCCATATAGCATTGATTCTATTCATTGATGATGTATCAATTCAATTTGCTTGTCAAAAACCCCTGATGATAGTATAAGCATCAACATCTACTGATTTCTAATGACGTGAGAGATATGTTTCAAAAATAGGACCATCTATATGATATCCTATATTAGTCTAGGACTCTAGGCTATAAAATAAAAAACTTCAAGCAATATAGTAGAGTTTTGCAATTTTAAAATATATATTTTAACTATTATCTCATTCTATACTAAAATCAATAGAAATCATTGTTCTCACTGGTCACAAATTTGTTAATCATTAATGCTAAAAACATTAATGCTAAAGAACAAAATTAGTCCCATATTTATAAGGCCCCTTCTTTTACTTGGGTGGCTAATAATTCAATGCATTAAAGTATGCAACAAGTAGTCAGCAATGATTATCTAGGTGCTTCTAATACAATTATCCAACTTTCTAAAATTGTATAAATGAACTACAGTGTAGTTTTGACATTCATATCTTATACATTTTTATTTGACATTCTTCAAAACAAAATCAGAAAGGTCCTTAACTGGCGTAGACAAAGACAGAAACCATAACTCATATTACATGCACTACACGTCTAGGACGTTTGTTTGGATTGACTGGATAAGGGGATTGCAATGCAATGCAATGGACCGTTAATCCTGCGATAAATATTGGTTGGAAATTATGTGTATTTGACTATTAGTCACTCGTAAATCTATTGGATATGGAGTCCAATCCCATGCCTCAGTTCCATGAAACAAACGTGCATGTATTACTATTCAACTATTAGAAATTTGTGGCAACAAATTAAGACGAAAAAAGTTACACAAGGACAGAAAATGCCAAAACTGTTGCTCACTAAGTATGAGTCCAAAACACGAACAAGTAAATAAGAATTCCGAAGTCTATCAGCCATTTATATCGCAATAAATTACAAGAAGACTGAAAAATATGTAACAATGATTAAAATAACCTTTCGTATTTCCAATAATAGGAAAGAGACTCTTACCTCGTACATATGCAAGTCAGACATTCCTCCAATTTGTTCTATCCGGCATTAAAAGCAGATGCACTTGCCTGATAAGATGTCATATTTAAAACACAAATCCACCCTTGGCCTCCGTACGTCAACTCAATAAAAGCAACAACCAAAAACTAAAATAATCAGAAATCAATAGTGATAGATCACTTATCTTCTAATCAATTATAACCATCCAAACTCTTCCCCCCTTCAAATCCCGTTTGGTTGCTGAGAAAGCAACTGAAAATTCGTTGAAATTCGAAATTTTAATAGACTCAAAGTAAGTCAAATAGTTAATCAAGCTCAGCTCAGTGAAGTTTTCAGTATAGGGCAGTCTCAAAATTAGAAATCCAATACTCAAAATCATGTTTTCGTTTCTTTTCCCGATACTTTCCCAGCAGCCAAACAAAGCACGATCGATATCAAATCCGTATCAAATACAAGAACAAAAACAACATGTACTATTAAACCAACGACAAACAACTAAAATCACAAGCTTTTATGCAAAAATCATCATTTCTACTAAGATCTAATGGGAAGACTCACCGGAAAACCGATTCCTCGCCGGAGAATCACGAACTCAGCCGAAATCCAAGACCTCAGATCACAGAACTGCGAAGAGAAACCCTAATTCGAAAGCTTAGAGAGAGAGAAATCGAGGAGGTTCTAGAGAGAGAGAGGGGGTTGAGATAGAGCTTGGAAAATTCTCGTGATTATTTTATTGATTTCTTAAAAGCTAAAAAAAAGAGGGTCACGCGTGAGGCGACACGTGGCGTGGAGATCAAAACAATGACGGCAGAGAGTGGATGGGTATCGGATTTCGTGGACGAGAGGGAGGGTCGAGATACGATCAGTTTAAGCGATCTGATTGGTCCACGTACGCGTTGGTGTTCTGGATTGTTGACGCGTGGATTATTGGGCCCACTTAGGCCGAACCTCTGTGTGGTGTGGGAGTGCGCACATGGTGGCGCTTAGTGACACTTGTGCTGTGTCTTATTTGTTCTCTTTAAATTAATTAATATTTAATAATTAATTAACTTTTTTTTGTTAAAGAGGGAGAAAAGATAAGTACTCTGCAAATTTAATATTTTTTCACACCGACCCCAACTTTTTTTAGTATTTTAATTGCCACTTGTCCCCTAAATTATACAGCCTTATATTATGTCTATCTTAGAAAATAAGTTAAAAGTTAATGTGTTTTTTTTTGAAAAAATGTATAAAAATCGTGAGATGATATGATAAAAAAAATTAAAAAATTAAAATATTAAAAAGTTAACTTTTAATTCAATTGTCAAAATAAGCGTAAGTAATAATATACAAATAAAAAATTTATATATAATTTTTACTCTTATATATAATGATGTGACATTTCATTTCAAAATAAAATATTGAGTAAAGTACCAATATATCTAAAAATGTGAACTTATACACTGATTAGTCCTGTTTTTTTTCTATTGAACCAAAAGGTCCTTAATCATGTAAAATGTCAATGTTATCCTCAACCATGTGGGTGTTCAACGTTTTAATTTGGGGTAAAATGTCAATGTTATCCTCAACCATGTGGGTGTTCAACGTTTTAATTTGGGGACAAAGTGGGTTTTTGGTACTGGTACAATTACTGATTTAGATGTAGAGCGCACTATAGGCTTTTTTGGTTTCCCTCGTTTTCGATAGAATCTTCCAGCATGTAGAAGGGAATGTTGGAGATTAACATTTCCACATTTCAACATTTCCATTCTGATACATTAAAACCCTAAATGTGATTTTTTGTATTTCAAAAGCGTATTTGTGCAATTCCACATTGTGTTTCGGTGGGATCCATGTTAAGAAGGTTGTGTATACGATGTAATTGACAAATACGATCGTCGTGAACTGCGTCAGAGCAAGCTTAACATCGGGTTCACCGGCGACTAGTTCACGTAGCAGTAAGTCAGTGATCACTACCCCCTTACCCCAATTCAAACGTTGTCGAAGCTACTAACGATGACAATAAACCGCGAAGGTGTGTTTCGTTTACCAATCCAATTTTAATGTTATGGATTATTGCGGGTTTGATTTTTGATTGTTGTGTGTTGTATTTGTGTATTGATTTTGAATAATGGCATTGTGTCTGTTATTTGGCACAATGTGCAAATAGGCCATAGATTATAATAATGTGAATTGAACAATCATGTTTTAATACATTCAATAGAATACAGAGAATCCTACATTGTCATCGGAATTGCACACCGATGGGTTTGGGTGTCAATTTTTTATTTGCGTGGATGTTTTTGAATGTAATGGATTATAATGTTCCTTTTGAAATGGTACCCAAACACATGTTTTGCTGATATTTTGGGTGTTTGTCTGGGAACATCAAATGTGGTGGGTGATGTGTGTATGTTCAAATGTGGTGGGTGTGTTCGGTTGGGAAAAATGCATTGTGAAAAAGGGTGTCATGAATGTGTGTGATTTTGTAGTGATTCGTTTAGAAACTGTGGTGTACTTTTTGTTGAACACGGTTTGGTAATATGTTGTTTATAATAGTGTCAACACAGGCATTATGTCTGAATATTTGCAAATGATACGATGTAATGTAACGCCAATTAGTACGTCATTCTGGGTATAGATTTATGTCGTTTTATTTTATGGCGGTTTGATTTTTCTCTGATTGGTTTGACCCCTTAGCATTGGAAAGCCTAGACATTGTCAACATTGGATGTTGGTATTACTGTTAATGTTGTTGTTAATGTTATGTAAATTTGGTAGTGATATTCATTGCCACAGTTTTAACAGGGGAGCTGGTGATGGGTTTTTTAGACGTCAGTCCATTTATAAAATACACGTGTGTTGGTGTGGTTTAGGTAGGGGCCTTATATTTGCCATGCGTGTTACCTTCCATACTCGATGTTAAATCCATTTAGGGACACATTTGATTTTTTTACAATACCACATAATGTACATGTACCGTCCGATCGAAATATACGTCACCAAGTAATGTATATTCACCATACAGTGGGGGACATTAGACCTGATGATAGTTTATGATTTACTTACACAGCCACCCTTGTTGATGTATGATGTAATGCCCATTTTATTAATGTTGATCCTTTTTTTGAATCGTGTTTTGCCACACGAATCTAATGAACATTGCCTTGTTACTGTGGCAGGTAAGGGCCGACAGCATACCCACTGTAAGGTGACTGATGTAAGGACATGGGGTTTCGGTGTGAAACAATGCACGTCGACCCGTTACAACTTATGTACCGTTCAAACATTGTTGGCATAATCAAGACAGTGCTCGAGGTGAACTTGGACGATAGGCACATCCGACAACTCAAGAAAACACCATTTTGGCTGATGATCGAGGCTATCCGTACGCATGGTTTGCAAGAAAATACGTTCAAGAAGTGTGACAAAATAGTATAGAGGATCATCCAGACATATAACTCGAGGGATGAAAAATTTTATATAGGAGGTCATGAGTTGGCGCTGCGAAACATTGACATTCATTTAATTTTTGGGGTCCAATGTGGGAAGGAGAAATTGGATGTCTCGTACGCGCCTAAATTGACATCCAATTTTCTACAATGGAGGTGTCCGAATGTTATATGAATATCATCAAAACTAATTAAGGATTTGTTGGTTAAAGCACTACAAGGCAGAACTGAATGTGACGTGGACGGTGTCGCGAAGCTTTTATGTTTATACATTTGTGCTAAACTGTTCTTTGTCACTATCGGAGAGTCAATTGGTTGGTCTTTCATCTGTATAATTGACAATTTGGATACGTTACGACATTATGATTCACAATTATTAGCAGTTCTAAATGGTAACAAATGAAAAATATTATGGTTATTATCTTGGTTGACACGTTGGATGTTTCAACGTAACGTTTTGAATTTCTATGAATCAAACAAACATGTTTCAATTAGTGGTTTATATGGAATATTTTGAAATGATGGTAATTGTGTTATTTTGCTGTTATGCATTTTGATAACTTATAACTGTGAACAATGCGTGAATATGTTCGATTGAAATTGTTTTATTTGAGCAACGCGTTAGGACGCACGAAATGGGTAACGACGGTGACAAGCATGACGTAATGCGTAGTGTAAGACTGGGACACCCTTGAAAATTGCAGATGTTGTTCTGTAATATGTTTGGATGTGAGCTGCCACATCTGAGCGTGGCCTGCGTAATGATTGAAAGTATTGCTGTGTGGGTATGGTAGTGTTCTTGATTTGTTTTAATGTATTCAGCACATTTACATAAAACATACCTCATGAAACAGGTACTTGAATATTGCGAAATGTGATGCGCAAAAAAATGCGACATCATGAAATTTTCATTACGTCCGATATACACCATGTACTGCCATTTTCATTAGTTGGTATTGTCATCCTGAAACCGTATTCGATTAAAAAATGGTGTGGTACGTGCCTCACGCAAAGAATCATTCTGGTTGAACATGCACAAGTGCAATATCGTCTATCATGTTGAGCAAACACTATGTGATGTGTGATGCGTGCTACAAATCCAAGAAACATTCAAAAACTCATTGTGGATGTTAATTTTGACACTAAAAGTGAATTTAATTCTTTACAATAATTGTCAAAACATTTGGACAATTGTGACTGCTTTGCACAATAAGACAAACATAATCTACAAACAATCAGACAATAACAAAACAACCGATCGAATTCCCCCCTCCCCCCGGAAACCATATGTTGTCAACATCTACATAGAACAAAACAAAATGCATATATAACATAATGGCACAGCAATTGGAAAAGTATGACCAACTTAACATCATTTCCCTCATTCCGTAATTGAATAAAGACGTTGATATAATGGAGTGCAAAAGCCTTCGCAAGAGACAACATATTCCGAACATCCTCATTGCACACAACCTTGAACTTATTATATCTGGGTACGACAAAGAATAACACCACCATCTCCGAGTCCAACCCATCAAACTTCCCGCACATCCCATTGATCAACTTTGCAAATGTCAACGCTTGATAAAGGTAAAGGACATCGTTCGTTTGCTCATAAGAACATAACAACAAAACTGCAACCTCCATACTTGCACACAAAACACAATTAAATTCCTTGACACACCGTAAAACGAAACCTAAATACATCAACACACATCCGATAAACCCACCGAAACAACATCTCACATAGAAAACCTCTTTAGACACCATTACATATCCTTACCCACACTTACCTCTAGAAAAAGATCAAAGGATCAAATCAACGTTGTTACCGGAAACCCCCAACACCGCAACAGAGTTCCGAAAGCATCAACCACAAAGTCCCCCATCCAACACCAAACACATCAACAAAATGAAACCAAGTCACCTGTCAATCATTGCACCAAATCTATATAAAACTGTAATGTAAATATACATTACCCAAATGAAACAAAACCACATTAGTATACAGAATCTCTCCAAATCCCACACCAAAGGGTAAAAATGTAAACTGTTAGATAATGTCTCAATGGGACCACATAATTAAATGTGGTGTTATCATTTATAAGAAGCCTACAATTTAAGTGATTCAATTTAGTTAATAGGCTTAAGGGTATATGTGTTATGGACCTAATGTGTAGATACTAGTTGTATAATTTCTATTTCTATGAGGGGCAGAAATAGAAATTAAAACATATTGGTTAAAGTTGGTTTTCATTCCTTTTGAACTTCTACAACCTTACAGTTTTGAAAACCAATTACAACCTTTAAAAGGTTATGGTCCCTATTCCTTCCCAAGTGCAAAAAAAAATAAGAACACTGCCATTTTTTTCTAAATCCTCTCAAGGAGAAACAAAAGGCACCAAAGGGGAAAGGATTAGAAGGCAATAACATAATCAATAACAAAGAGTTCATTGATAATCACGCTTCCGTTTAACCGTTCATCAATGGATTCAGGTATGTCATTTTGTCTTGATTTCTTGATAATACACATGGTAAATGATCCAAAGTGTAAGGTTTATGTTCTGAAATTTATGTTTACATAAACTCCAAACATACCAAATCAAATAAAAATATTCCTCCCCAATCAAATAGGACTAAATGGTTCATAAGAAAAATTTCAGGACTAAATGGCGCAACATTCCTTGAAATGGGATTTATCAGTAATTTTTCCTAAAATATTATTGAAAAAAAAAATATTTATAATAATGATATTGTCACATCATCTTATTAAGTTTTTTGTATAAATTTTATGTATATTTAAAATTTCCCTTATATTATATCTATTATATAATTTATTTTTTTAAGAAGTAAATTACACTCACTTCCCATGAAGTTTGAAAAATATGTAATTACTGTCACATTTTTTATATAATTATACTGACATTTTATGTCTTAAAATTTTAATTTACATAACAAAATTTGATGGAACCCATATATTGCTCACCTCCAATCACCGTTCCTTATCTTACTATCAAATATTGAATTAACAATCCCATAAATCCGACATAAATCCTTTTTAACACCATTCAGACATTCCCAAGAATTAAAAAATGCAATGCTCATATAGCTGGTGGTACCGATATTCCAACTCTAATGATATCAACGTGGCCTAATAGAAAAAAGGAAAAAGATTGAGCCCTCGAATGCCTTGAATTGTTGTTGTTTTTTTTTTTTTTGACAGTGTTGGTTTGGTTGTGTTTTTTTTTTATTTATTTATTTGTCGGGTTGGTTTGGTTGTTTTTATTTATTTATTTATTTATTTGTTGGGCTTTTTTTATTTTTTAAGGGTGATTACGTTCAACGAGACAGCTACTGGTATATTTGGCCTTGGGGGCGACAAGCTTTCAATCGTAAGCCAATTGAGCAACTTGATTCACAGAAAATTCTCTTATTGCTTACCACCATTACATTCATCAGATTCAAACCTGACAACCAAGTTAATTTTTGGTGACAATGCGGCGATGAGTGATGCCGGGGTCATTTCAACTCCAATAACCAAAAAATCACCCAACACATTCTATTACCACACATTGGAGGGCAATAAAGTTGGAAACGAGAGCCTAACATACAAAATGCCTTCAAAAACGAATTTGGTTGATTCTGCTGATGAGCTTGATCAGGGTAACATCATCATTGACTCAGGGACAACTTTAATGTTCTTGCCAAGTGAGTTAAATGAAAAATTATAATCAGAATTGAAAAAAGTCATTCAAGGAAAACTTACTTTGGACCCACTAGGGTTCTTGAGCCTATGTTACAGTAATATTGATATTACGAAGTTGCCTACAATAACAGTCAAATTCACCGGAGCTGACCTGGAATTGCCATCGTCGATTACTTTTATCCAAAAAGGAGATGGTCCAGTGTGTTTAGCCTTTGTTCCTACGAATGACATCTCAATTTTCGGAAACTTGTCGCAAATGAACTTCTTTATCGGTTATGACCTTGTCAAAAGTGTAATTTCTTTCAAGCCAATTGATTGCACAAGTGCAACTAGTGGAAATTAATTATTTTGAATATGTATGAATAAATTGAAATTTAGGTTGTATTAATCTTATTAAGTTTTTAAATATTTGACCATGTTGGTGCTTCTTGATGCAGACAGTGTAGGGTTAAAAACTAGCCTAAGAAAAGAATATATATATTTTAAATTTTCAATTACATTTTCTAAGATCCAAACACAGCATTACTGTGTTTTTGCCTTTCATTTGATTTGTTTCTTGGACAAGTGCCTTTTTGTCTTGCCAAAAAGGAAAGGAGAAAAAAGAAGAAGATGGGCATGGGACCTTTTTCCCAAGACAATTGGTGGTCATTAGTGCAGGAAATTGCTGGTTCAAATTGTATGTTTTGATAATTTAGATTGTAGTTTCAAGCTACTTTTCAAGCTACAAAATTCAAGGTCAAACATTTATATCTTCCCTCGGAATTGCGATGAAAACAATATAGAGAGAACTAGAACCACTACAAGAATTAACACTTTTGCCGACCAAAAAATTGGTCACTAAAAGCCCATTTTTAGTCAGCAAAAGTTATCTGCGACCAATTTTTTTGGTCGCTACTTTGGTCGCCAATTGAGGGTTGGCAAAAGTAATTCGCGACCAAAATTTTGGCTAGTCGGGAAAAGTTGGATTTGCCGACTAAATTTTTGGTCGCTAAATATTATTACTGCGACTAATCCATTTTGTCGCTAAAACATTTTAGCCGCGAAAAGTCACCTTTTGCCGACCAAATATCTTAGTCGCTAATTGTCACATTCCATGACTAACAAATTTGGTCGCCAATTATCACATTGAACGACCAAAAAGTTTGGTCACCAATTGTGACATTTCATGACCAAAAATTTTGGTCGCCAATTGTGACATTCTACGACCAAAAATTTTGGTCGCCAACTGTGACATTCTACGACCTCTTAGTTTGGTCGCCAATTGTCACATTCCACGACCAAAATAATTAGTCGCCAATTGTCACATTCCACGACCAAACATGTTTGTCGCCAAAAGAAATGTTTGCGCAACTAAAACTTTAGTCGGCAATAGACCTATTCGCAACCAAATCTTTTGGTTGCCAAAATTAATAATTTTAACGACTAATTATTTAGTCGCCAAATATGCTTGGCGATACACCGACTGCTTTATTTAGTCGGCAAAAGTATAACTTATATTTTTGGCGACTAATCAATTGGTCGCCAAAACTAGAAAAACAAAACCAAATTTTGGTCGCCAACATCCAACAAAATGAACCTGTAATTTATAATAATCTATCCAATTTATTCAATATAATCTGTAATTTGCAAAAATCATTCAAACCAACAAATAAATTGAATCATGAACATTCAACAAAATACATATATCAACCATTTCTGAACCTGTTTAATTAAAATCAGCAACTATTATAAGTTTTCATCCACAAATAATTCCAAACTACACATTTCATCTACCATAAAAATTTAAAACATAATAAGTACTTGTTATTATGTTTTAAATTTTTATCCATGTACATCAACCCAAAAATATAACTAGTAGTCTACCAAATATTTTCTATACACACCCATCCAAAAATATAACTACTAGTGTATCCAAAAATATAACTACTAGTCTACCCTAATATTTTCCATATACATCTATACAAAAATATATAATCCTTCCAAAAATGCAAAAAGTGCCAATTTGTCCTGTACAATTTAGCTTTGTGCACGAGTTCATCCACCTGTACCAAAGAAAAAGAGAAATACTGTCTGGTAAAATTGGACAAATAATGAAAAATGTCCATGAAAAGCAAAGCTCACATTAGCAAATTAAATGACTATCATTATCAAATTGTAAATAAAACAATAGCATTCTTATGTCTATAGAATAAATTAGATCAGCCACCATTCTAGATCCAATATAGTGCCACATAGCAGAAACCATTCCAGATCCAATATAGTGCCACACAGTAGAAACAATATTAACTACATAAAAGTTTAGAGGAATGCTTAACAAGTTTGAAAAACAATATTAAAATAGCATCGTGAATTTGCTAAAATTTGCATTTTCAAGGGTTCCAATGCTTTATTAAGTTTGAGCAGGTAATTTTATCATATGTTCTGAATAACACTGCCTGCAATTGCTTCTTTGGTGGGCTAAAGCCAGCTATAGCTTATGGTTCTTGGTGTTTAAGACTTTTTAAAGCTTAGGGTTGGAACAAATTGTGTTTTGTATTTTAAAATTATTAATAGTTTCCGAAAATACCATTCTCTAATTTCTGGACACCAATACAAAGATGTACAAGGAGAAAAAATATAAGATAAAAAACAGAGCAAAGCAGCAAACCATCACTAAGTTCCATAATCAAATATCAAAAATTGTAATTTGGTCGCAAAAAATTACTTATTTGCAACCAAAAATTTTAGCCGGTAATCGTATCAATTTTTAGCTACAAAATTTACTTTTGGTCAGCAAATGTCATTTTTTTGCGACAAAATTTTTTTTAGTTGGCAAAAGTGGTCGGCAAATATGTAAATTCTTGTAGTGAACCACGCTCACCTATCTCCATTTGTTTTTTGCCTGTTGAAATAAAACCCTCCACACTACGTGCAATATCTTTTTGAAAATGCCGTGCAACATGCATTTTAAGACTTTGATCACATATGAATTAATGTATTATTGGTTTTAGTTATTGTGGCATGTGCCAACGGATCCATTTATTAGATCAAACAAACCAACTCAATAAATCAAGAAATCACTTGGCAAGGACTCAATATCTATACCTTTGTTGATCTTGTAGAAATGTACACAGGGACATCGAAATAAATATGTTAGACTTATTTATTTTGATGATTTATTTAATTATGTTTGAAAGAAAAAAATAGAATCAAAATTTATTTTGTCTCATTATTTTTCACATAAACTTTTATCCTAAATATTGTTTGAATGTATTTAATATTTGCTTAAATCAGGAGTTCATTTCAACCCAAAAATAATGCCTAAACCAGAGGTTCAAATAGCCCAAAGCAAAGGTTCAAATAGCCTAGCACAACAGCAAGCCAAAAGGTTCAAGTGGAAGATATTCAAATTAGTAATGATGGAGTAGAAGATATTTAAATGAATACAAGGGCTATAAACGGCTATAAGTTTCATTATATATACCAAAGCCTCTGATGTGAACAAGTGACAAAAACTACAAACAAGTTACAGAAACCAGAAAATATTCTTTGATCTAAAATCATTCTCATCTATTCTCTGAAAAATTTTCTGAGAAGTGAGGTTCAAATAGCCCAAAGCAAAGGTTCAAATAGCCTAGCACAACAGCAGGCCAAAAGGTTCAAGTGGAAGATATTCAAATTAGTAATGATGGAGTAGAAGATATTCAAATGAATACAAGGGCTATAAACGGCTATAAGTTTCATTATATATACCAAAGCCTCTGATGTGAACAAGTGACAAAAACTACAAACAAGTTACAGAAACCAGAAAATATTCTTTGATCTAAAATCATTCTCATCTATTCTCTGAAAAATTTTCTGAGAAGTGTTCTTCGATATTTGTTTACATCCTCTTTAAAAAATTATACATTGAGTCGTATAGCTTTAAGCCCATCTTTCCTGTGTGAGGGTTATAGAAAAATCAGAGTTTCATTTTTCTATCGATCTTTGAGAGATAATTCTTGTAACTTTCTGTGAAAGCAAAAACACATTCTTTTCAACCCTGTAAGAGTGTAGTACACTCAGTGTTTTTGGACTTAGAAAGTCTGTGTAAAATCCGGGGAGGATTGCTCCATCTGTGAAAAGATTGCTAGCACCCTGTGAAGCTAGAGAATAGTGGAAAATCTCAAGTGAAGCTTGAGGAGTGGACGTAAGCCGAGTTGAAACCGAACCACTATAAATTTATTTGCCTCTCTCTTCCTTATCTCTTTATTTTATTTAAATTGCCATAGCTATATTTCATATTTTTATTGTGCTAAAATAATTAATTGACACAGTTGTTAGAACACTTGTTTTAATTATTTTTATTTCATTAATTATATTTATCTACTGTGCTAGCCATAATTTTTATTAGGGTATTATTACTTTTATTTGTAAAAACCTAATTCACCCCCCTCTTAGGTTGTCTTTTGGGTAACGAAATACAATTCTGGACTCATTAAATCCCCAAGCACATTCATACACAAAAATCTCAAATTCTCAACTCATCAATCTGATTTCAATAAAAAGTGAATCAAGATTTAACCAAAGAGTAATGAAAAACCCAATATAGTATACCTAGATATACACATTTACGTATAAGACAATTAAGCAATCACGCCATTAACCACTATAATAAAGAAGATCCTCTCTCAAACATGAAGTCAAAACGAAGCCTAGAAATAGTCTTCCAAGTGTTGAAATTGAAGGAGGCGACAAAAACTCATAATTCAAAATTCTCAGAAACCAAACAAGAAGTTGAATCGAAGAAGAAGGTACCTACTACTGTTTGGCTACTTGTTCCTTTAGTTTGCTTGCTTGCTTTTTAATGGTTTCCATTGGGTATAACACTGTACACTTTCATTTCACAATTCTTTTATAGGAAAATTCTAATATACATCTCTTTAAAAAGGGTGTACCATATACACCTCTAGTTATGCTATGTTCTTTTTTAGTTATAAACAATTTTCTTCTTTAGTTATGATATTATTTTAATTATGACTCATAGTTCTTTAGTTATGTCTCATGTTGTGTTTAATTATGTTATATATATATATATATATGTTTTAATTATGATTCAAAAAATTAAAGTTATGTCATTTTTTTTAGTTATAAGGTACATATAGTGCATATTTTTTGAATGATGTGCACCATAATGTGTATATATATAATAATTCACATATAAATGTGGGTAATTGTATAGAAATAAAAAAAAACAAAAAAAATAAAAAAACTAGAAGATTAGAGAAGACCTAGGTTTGTGCAGATCCCAAGAAGACAGGACTCCACATGAACAATCACTAACGGGAAATACTATTTCAACATACATATTTACCTCAGTGCACA